CCGGCCCCGCCCGGGGAGCGCACCGCGCCTGCGCCGAGCCGGCCGCGCCGCTAGGGGCGCTGTGCGCGGGAGGGCTGAGGGCGGAGGCCGGAGGCGGGAAAGCTGAGGCGGCGCGGCTGTCTCGGGGCGGTTATTGGTCGCTGGCACTGCCCACTATTAAAATACATATTAAGGTTTCCTTTGAAAGCATTTTACTGCACATGCAAAACAGTAACTAGTTCTGTAAGTTTAAAATAGTTCGACGACTTTTTTTTTTTTTTTTCTCCAAGCGTTAAAATCAGTTAGATGAAGACATTGCAGAATCACAGAATCAACAAGGTTGGAAAAGGCCTCTGAGATCATCAAATCTAACCTACGACTAAATACTACTGTGTTAAACAGACCATGGCATGCAGTGCCACATCCAGTCTTAAAACACCTCCAGGGGTGGCGACTCCATTTCCCTGGACAGCCCATTCCACTGTCTAATCACCCCTTCTGTGAAGAACTTCATCCTAATGTCTAACCTAAACCTCCCCTGGTGCAGCTAAAGACTCTATTAGTTTCACTTTTGTAGAGTACTAGTCACTGGTGTCACTGTATTATTCCCCAAATTTGACACAGATATCCAGACTGTGAGCTGTATTATTAATATTCAGTAGGGAATACACTGAGCAAATTATAAATGCCTGAAATAATAGGTTCTCATAGAAATGTTGGCAAGCTGTTGGTGCAAATATGTGACTAGAAATGAATCATACAAAACCCATAGCCAAAGCTACATGTAAACCGCCTGATTCTGCTGTCATTTATGTGGCACTCAGGTTTCATAGAACATTTTGGCAACTTGTACAAGTATGTCATAGAATTTATAAGAAAATTGCATTCTGCCCTTCCAAAAACAGCACACAGCTCAGCAGACTGGCAGGCATGAAAGAGGCTGAATTCCTAGAAATAGGGTGGAGATCAAGTTAAAGGAGCAGGCTTTGCCAAAACAAGCAGCTTCAGCATAGTCCTCGCTTCCAAGAACGAGCAGAAGCCAAAAGAGGCGGGCCAGGTTCAGTGTGTGCCACCATTTACACACACTACCTTAAGCTCCTTACTTCTGGCACATTTAGATTTGTTACCTCAATTAAAGCTAATCATAATAATTCATAGAAATCTCAGGATGTGGGAGTTAAAAGTGCCCAAACTGATAGATTTTTATCATACATCAGGTTTTCTACAATTGGCACAATTTCCTGTAACAGCATACTCCATTTTCAGGCAATCATAACTTCAGTCCATAATTCTTAAAGATGCCATATTTATTGCCTCAATACAGGCTCAGATCTTATTACTGGATGTGCAAGTCCTGAGGTTGTGGTTCCTTTTTGGGACCTAGAAGATCATAGTTCCCTTCATGGTCAATCTGAGCAATTGTATATTACTAGTCTCTCTTTTCAGATCCCTAATGATATGGCAGGGCTAACAAAAGTCACAGGAACAATGGGAGGCTAAGGAAATGAATACTATGTTCTAATGCTATAATTAATGGACCACATATGTAGCTAGGTTTTAAAAAAAACCCACCATTGTTCTTGTACTCTTTGCCCAAGTGTGGGATTTTATACCCATAAAGTTCTTAAATGCTGGGGTTTTTTTTCCTTGTTCTACACAAATTTTACTAATATCCCGCCAGATCTTCTTGGTTAGTTTATACTTACATAAATAGCTGGTTAGAAGAAAAAAAGAAACACCTGCTGCTTTCTTTCTTTAATCTCATGCCACCATTCACCTCATGGATTTCTTTTACTTTTTTGTCTGAATATTAATTTTTCTTACCAATAAAATTTAATTAAATGAAAAACACTGTTCACATATTACAACTTTTTTTTAAAAAAAAAATTCTACGTTTCATATACATGTGCCATACAAGGCATTCCTCAGCTTTCCTCAGTATGAATAATGTTCTTGAGTAAGAATAACTGAAAGGCTGACACATAAAAGGTTGGTTGAATTAATTTAAGACAATATCCCTTTCCATTTAATCAACAACTGACAGTATGGGTTCTGTTTCCTAGTTATGTCTGGCCTGATTAGAAAGAGAATTCAATACTTGGAAGGAAAATAAAGAAGAAAAAATCAAAACCATCACTTTCATAACTTGTGTACTCCTGGTACAGGAGTGACGCATACAGTCGGCACTGCTTACGCCTTACTGCTAACTATATAATCCATGTAAATATTTATCATACAGCTATTATCAGTGTAAACATGCAGTTTAGTCGTATGTTGACCCATAATGAAAAAGTGACATTGAGATCTTTGCTTAATAGCATAAGGTTTAAACATGTTTTAGAAGCAATAGAGCAGATCTCGAAATACTCACTTTTTCTGAGGGTTATACCAAGGCTTTTCAACATGTAACAATTGCAAAGAAACATCCTACTATGAATGCATGAATGCAAATTAAATCCATATCTGAAGGTTATTTTTTAAATTAATGCTGGGAATCTGATAGCAGCACATTTGAAATACTGTTTATGTTAATCTTGAAGGAACTAGTTAGGACTAGCCTGCAAATATAAGAAGAATGTCGGAGTGTAGTTATGGTAAAGGAACTGTGGCTTTCCTAGACTGTCAGTACATGACAGTGTTTACAAAAAGCAGAAGAAAAGTGGTAACCCAGAATTTGATACATCAAATATTATGAGTCTGTCAGAAAATTAACAAAATACAGACGATCAAAGGATCAGTTTAAACATGTTATTAGTTTATATACAGCTGTTGTACCACTGCTACCATTCTGCTTCTGAAAACAACATAATGCCTTGGAAACTGGAGACAATCCCTTCTGAGAGAGACAGATGGAAATAAGATCTGATAGTGAATGTTTTGTATGAATTCAGGGCTTACTCTCCCAAAGAGTCTTTGATCTGACATTAACTCTGCTTTTACTACGTAATCCACCTCTACTAACTTCTTCTTTGCTGGCAGGTTACTTTCTCCAGTTCAGCTGCCAGCATCACTAACACATATAGACAAATGGAGGGAAGATAGAGATGCTTTCTCTTCAGCTTACAGAGATAAAACAATATATCCTGGAGGTTCTTGATTTGTTCATATAGACTCCCAGAAAATATAGATGAAACAAACCATATGGAGACTAAAGCAGTGTCTTGGTCTTAATGTGGGCTGGAAGAAATGGACCAACATCAAAAAGGTTTCCCAACACAGCCAAAGGCATCTGATCAGATGATAAGTCACCTCCTGCTTATCTGGATATTTCCATGCTGCAGTGAGACACTTCAGTTAAGCCAAAGCATTTTGAAAAAGCTCAAAAGCCTGAGCTCCTGGATGTAACCAGAAGAGAAGGGAGTAGACCAAAAAGCGTTAAGGAAATGTATGTGTGAACTATGCCCAAAAAGATAGGACCAGACAATCCTTCTATGAAACTGAAGGGCTTTCTAAAAAAGGTGTCAAAAACAAAGATAATAGGATGTGACATCACTGAAAACATGAAAACAAACTATAATGTAAAGAGTTATTTGCTATGAAGCGACAAAAGAGTAACCTGCTGTCATCTCAAACTGATTTCAAAAGCTGTACATACAAACATTTATCTTACTTTTACTGACCACAGGAATAACACTCAAGAAGTTGTTACTTGTAGTAATATTGTAGGCAGAAAATATTCTGTTGAATACAGTTGTTTGTTTTTTTTTCAGTGGCAGCATAATTTACATCTCATCATTCACAGTTTATAAAAATCATGACATTAAAGTATATTCTGCTACTGGCAGAGAATTTTTCTTAATACTCTAGCTGTGAAAATTTTGTGATTATTTCCCATTCCTATAAAGTATTCACATAATGTTTTCCATTATGGAAACACAGGGTTTGATCCATTTTTTTATGAAATTTTAACTACTTTATAACAAGGATATGTCACTATTCTGGTGACATTTTTGTGCTCCACTGGCCTGCAGGATGCCAAGGGAGATGAAATGTCAATTTGCTGTACTCCCAGGTTCCCAGCTCTCAAAGTTGGGCTAATCCAGAGGCAATACCAGAGGGCTTTATCTTGTACTCCTTGTAAAGGAGGATTTGTTAAAGATAGTACAGTAATTTCACCAGAAATTACATTTAAGCCACTTCTTGGAAGTCTTTTCTTGTTCTGTATTTTCTTCTGAATATATGAGTAGAATTCATGTTTTGCAAGTTTTTGTCTATCATGCTAACCTTGGTTCTACATTGTGTGTGATCACTAGCCTGACTCCTGTTCCCTGCAGAGAGGCTGAGAGGCAGAGGCAGGGGTGAGGAAGCATTTAGAAGAGGTGCTGATACCTGTGATGTGGTGGAAGACCACATAAAAATTTTACTTCACAATTTGGTCTTTTTATTTCTGTTCTCATAGAAAGAGAACTTCCCTTGGAAGTTTGAATCACAGAAGTTGTGAGGAGACATCATGTGCCATAATCATAATATCGAAATAGGCATTATTTTTTGTTTGGGATTTTTTGTTTGTTTTGTTGGTTTCAACTTCCTAAAGCTGTCTTTAACATATTTTTATTTAACAAAACTAAGCCTAACGAAGGCATCTGTCACAGCTCAGAGTGCATTGATCAGGCTTAATTAGGGCTTAATAGTCCCTGGCCAGCCTCATTTGAGTCCCCAGACGCGTCCCCTCCTCACGGGCCCAGTGCGCCACTTGAGGTCAGCCCTAGGCCTGGGGTTTTTCCTAAGCAGGCCTGCACCAGGGTCGGTCCCTACTGGCCCCCAGCCTTGCCCTGGCCACGGGCCTTTGGTTGATGGTTCTGTCTCCAAAGAGCTCCATCCAGGTGTAATGCCTGGTTTTGACTTCCTTTGCCCTGCCTTGTCCTCATGGGCTGCCTTGTGTTTTGGAGGATTGGCTGAACCAGCTGCTGTCCTTGGACCTTTCCTGCTCCTTGCTCAGGTACCTTGGGGCTGGATCCCCTTCACAGAGGTTGTTCAAGACAAAGTACGGAAGGGGGCAATACAATATTCAAGGCAGTGAATCTGAAAGTGGCAATTCAAAGCTGGTAAGCTCTATTGAAGCATTATTTTCACTTTTTTCATTATTGGTTTTTACAATATTCAGCAGAAATTACACGGCTGCTGTAGATAGCAGTAAAATAAATCAAGATCAGATTGGGTTTTTGAAGCGCTTGAACATTTTTGAGCATAGAAAATAATGTATGAATTATAATCAAACTACATAAAACTACTGAATATCACCAAACCTGAAAGCTTATATTTTGTAGCTGAGTGTTACTCAGGTTCAGCTCATGAGAAATTTCACTCTAGCCTGATAAAGTAGACTTTTCTAGCCAATACAGTATATTGTATTTGGTCAGCTAGTATAGATGGGGAAAGCAGACAAGCCTTCAGGAGCACAAGGCTTTATTCAGATCTGAAATAGAAGCTTTTCAAAGCTCAGTAAAAATTGAGGTGTATTTTTTTTAAACTGCCTTTAGAGCACTGGAAACTACTGATAACAGCTGGTGGAAATAACTGGTGAGCCTGCTGGGGATGATGCTTTTTGCTGTGTATGTACAGGAAATAAGCCTCGGTCTTTACCTTGGTTTCAAACAGCAGCTTTCACCCCTGTTTTTGTGGTAGTGCTGCTGTGGCCGTAATGATTGCCTCAGGGCAAAGACAGTTGTGCTATTTCTTGTCGGACCAAGAAAAACAGGTGGAAGCCTTCCTTCAGACCTGGAGCAGCAGCAGGAGATGGCTCCGTGCTGTCCTGCCGTGACTGCTTGTCGTGACATGCAGCTGAGAAATGCTCTGACGCTGTGCACTCACTGAGCAAACAGCTGCAACAGGTTGCTGTCTTACTACACCAGTTTATTTTTCACTCTGCTGAAGACTGTCAGTCCTTTGCTGATGGTGCTCTCTAATCTTCTTTAAACAAAATCAGCGAGGTGCTTGGGATCGGGTTGAGGCTGTCTCCAGGGGCTGGGTGGGGCCGGAGCAGGCAGGATTGATTCACCGTGCTGTGCGTGTGCTGAGAGCCATCGCAGCTCCCAGCTAGCACAAGTAACAGCCCCGGGCTGCCCTGTCCCGCAGGCCATCTCCACTGCAGGAATCACCCACTTCAAAGGCCACCCTTGAAAACAGAGCAGAGGTCAGGGTACAGGCTTGCGATTGGCAAGGAATGAGCACCAGCAAGGGCATAAAGATAGCGCTCAGCCATCTGCAGGGGTGTTCATGCAAACTTTCTAGGACTTGTTCAGGTTTCTGGGGATCTTCCAGCTTTCTAGGTAGAAGGGCAAGTTTTTCAGCCATTAGTTAGATGAACCCTCCCACTTCCCAGAGTCAAAGAATTCCCATGGGGATTGCCCTGGGGACCTCTTCCTCCTCTTCTAAAAACTTGTGAGAGTCTATTTGAAGCTTTTTCTTTCAGCAGCTCACTAATGTGTGTTTCTGCTACCTGTCACGTTTATTTTCGTTATTCATTCTGTGTTCAAATTTTGGTCCATATCCAATGAGCTTGAGAAATATATTTTTTAATTACTTCCCTTGTTTTCTTTACTGTCTTTCTATCTGTAATATAATGGTCTCTGGCAGCTTTTTGGCTTTTGGCACTGCAGAATACCTAGATCAGTTACAACAAGGTGACTTGGCATTCTGCGCAGCCGCCTGTGAGGATTTCAGCCAGGCCTTTGCTTGATTAATGAGCATTGGCCTATTCTTGAGATAAATTCATGCTGGATTTTGCCCAAGGGCTACAGAGTGGGCACTCCAGGGAGTTTAGTGGAAGAAATCTGTACTTGAAATGACTTTTCTTTGAGATCTGTTTACTTAATGATTGCTTGCATGAAGGTAATACCACTGATAAGGAGGAAAAGGCAGTCAAAATTGTCAAGAGAAGTACATCATTAGATTTTTTTTTTTTTCCAACTTGTGTATTACAGACAGCTCTCTCTTGGAAGGAAGATTATATGGCACATCCTGTGCTGGGCCAAGTCCCTGAGGTAGGTGGGAGCTCACAAGGTGTTCACTTACACGTGCATGGTGCCTGTCAGCAGTGCCATTTCTACATCAGGGACATGGCAGTGAGCAGTAATCCCCCTCCTGCCCCTCCCAAAGCTACTTTCCTTCATGATGACTGGCATATCCCTGTTGGTATCAATCACCGATCACGTGTATGAGCATGTTTTAGTTGATTTCCTAAAAAAATCTACATCTGACAATTTTACCTGCATGCTGCTCATGCCCAGTAACTTCAGAATCAGTTAACCAATTTCAGTCTCTTCTGCCAGAAGTGTGGGCTGCTTGTGGGCTGCAGCCCCACTGCCTCCTGCAGCTGCCATCCGCGGTCAGGATGGCAGCCAGTCAGCCTCAGCAGAGCCTGGTGAGGGGAGCTGCTCTGTGCTGCTGATGGGAATGGCTGGGATGTGCTTGCCAGTCCCAGAGCTGAGTCCCCATTCTGGAGACATGGCAGGATACCAGTTTGTTCTAAAGGGCCTGGCTGGCACTGCTCGTTTGTAGCTGTGCCCCCTCCACACCTGGGGCTATGCAGCTGTGGGTTTGTGAAGAATCTCGTGAGCTTTACCTGCCCCTACTATGTGTTGGTTCTTTTCTAAACAGCAAGTGAAATAGGGCTGGGTGGGAGACTTCAGGGAGACTTGAAACCCTTGGGTTGAAAATGGGAAGCAGGGAACCTAAGGGGTAAACAAGCAGTGTGTAGGCAGTGGACAGTACCATGATTAAACCTGATATTCAGACCAGGCAATCAGGGTTAATTTTTCTGCTGTTCATGACTTCTACATCTATAAGGAGTTAGACAACTGTTTTGAGGCATCTTTGGGGGATGGGTGTTGAAATACTTAACAAAAAAAATCTACCAAGAATATAATATATAATATATAATCTGCAATATTTGAGTGCTTCTGTTGCTGTATCAGAGAAGTGTTTCTCTGAAGGAATCATATGTGATTCTGCAAATCCCAGGTTCATTTGCAGAAGGAGAAGAAATAAATGGATATGTGCACAGAAAGTCAATGTACTGAAATGAAAAAGCAACAGAAGACAAAACACAATATGTGTGTTTTTAGAGTATCTGTCAATCTAAGGTAATAAATAAGTAAACAGAACCATTTTAATTTGTTCAAGTAAATCCCTTTCAGGGCTGAATTAACTAAAGCATATCCCTATGAAATAACCCTCATTATATAAATTAGTGTGCCGATGGATTACTGATTTTGCAGCCAAAAAACCTCACCACCATAGGTGTGAAGTTTCCTGATCATCTAATAAATTGATAACTTTGAAGCCTAGTTGTGACAATTTAAATGTCATCACTATTAAACAAGTTGCCAAAATGCAAACAACCATCCTAAGTCATTAAAATGTAATTATAAAGGACAGCTGGGTCTACTATCAATCTGGGCTGTGGGGACTCATAATGGGGAAAAATATGAAACTTTCACAGAAACCGAATGAGATTGCTGTGTGTGCCAAGCCCAGCCTGCTCAGGAAGCAGGGGAAACATGTATTCAGTGCATGCACAGTTACTGGTGCTCACGGAAGGCTTTCACTGCCGAGATGGACATAGGAGTCAGAGGCATCCATCAAATGTCTTCCCTGTCTCTGCCGTATATGAGGAGTCCTTTTGCTTATTGTCAGGGTCTGCCTTGCTAGTGAGGGGCAGATATACTGGGTAGCAGCTACAGTCTAGCAGAAATGCCAGTGAAGTGGGACTAAATTTGCTCTAGTGTGGAATGGCAGTGCAGGTGGTGTAATCGCTGTTTGGAAAACCAGGTGGACTCAAAGTGATAATGAAGGTTTGCTTTTTGGCTGAGAGGAATAAAGGAAAATGTGACTGTAAGGCTTTGCAGGCATAGACCTGATATGTTTATGAAAGCTGTGTTTAGTCATATTGATAACAAAGTTATTGAACTTTATTTTTTATGTTTATTATTTTCTTGATACTTTGATAAGGCCACGATATGGGCAACGAGCCCAGTCCCTGCTATGTGTGAGATAGCTCTAAATTCCCATTGGTTTCAGTTCCATCCCAGTAGGTTCTACCTTTAATTCAGCGATGCAGCATGCAGTCGATGAGATTTACTGAGGATATGCACCATGGAAAGGGTGGAACGAGCTAGAACTGTGATACTGCATCATTAAAATAGTAACCCCAAAAGGAGGCCCTGCGGTCTTTTGGTGTTTTATTTATATGCATTATGGAGCTACAACAGCTGCTGGATTCCATAATTAAGCCCCATTTTCCCTAAATGTGGTGGAAAGGGTAAAATAAGTGAGAAATGCTGATCACTGGTAAAATTCTAAAAGAAATCTTTTATGTATCTTGATGCATGTACCAACTCAATTGGATAGCTTCTTTTTTTGAAGCTTTTATAAATGTGAATAGATTAAAAAATATGGATGGATGCTCATGTATTATTTGAAATAGTGGAATTCTTTTTTCCTGTATGTCAGCCTATGAATTTTTTTTTATTCTTACTGAGAAATGTCTGCTATTGCATATGGGTGGTCACAAACCTTTCATTTCCTTCCTTTTGTATACTTGGAAATGATCTAATAACTGAGTGTTCTGCTGTAATTATCTACCTTTCACTTTTGTAAATTATAATTCTTGTTTGTTTTGAAATGAGAATCAGTTGGTATGGAGCTTAGAAAAACATTTAAGATTACAAACTGTTTCTGATGAACAGATTGTTTTTTGATGCAAATGGAAAGCCAAGTTGAGAGAGGTTTCTCTTTTTTATGCAGAAGGATGCAGCCACTCAACAGGCTTTGTCCTTATTTTTTGGCAGAATTGGACTGCCCTACTCAAAAGCATAAACAAGCCTCAGCCTATCAACAACATAAATGGGACACCAGCCTGCCAAATACAGGGAAATGAATAAATGGAAGAACAATAAAAGTCAGTAAAGTAGGAAATCTCATGTGGTGTGAATGATTTCCTATATAGCATAAGCAAGTTTTTTCTGCTGTTTGTTTCACACAGCTACACTAAGGATGAATAAATTTTTGTCACCAATAATATTATGAAAAGCATGCAAATTTGAGAGATCACACTCTCTAATGGACAGAATGGTTATTTTGGAAGGAAAAATAAGCTTTCCTACAATTTTCATTCACTATCTCCCAATGTGAGATGACAATTTACTGCAGGCTTAGGAAATTAAATGTTAGTTTTCCGTGTGTAGTGAAGAGGTTTGGAAATTAACTTAGCAAAGGTGAAGATACATGGCATTTTTCAATGCACAGTGAGAGTCAGCAAGATGACATTGTAAAATATCCCTAGTAATAGGCAGTTAGAAAGTCTGCAGGGGATGAGGTCAAAGAAGGGTTAGCAGCTGACATCAAATCAGAAGCCAGATGTGCTGACCCTTAATCATAGGCTTTTGCAGGCTTTTTGTGTACTGCAATTCAGCATAACATTATTGAATTCACCTTTAGATTAAGCTGGTCTGCTTTGACACATACAAGCCCATATGCAAGTCAATGGCTGTGTCATCCACTTCATTATGCAAGCTTTGATAACAGACCATCCAGGTGACCTCTGCAAGGAGCACCACTTTTCAAGGTCCTTAACCATTTGCATTTTCAGTGAAGGGAAAGTGGCACACCCCATTTAGGTCATGTTGGATCATTAGTTTTGCATATACAAATTAAAACTGGGAATAGTAATCTGCCACGTCTTTTTTTCTTCTTGCAAAATTAATTAAAACTATTTAATTCAGCACTCTTATGAAAGTTCCCTGCTTCTGTACCAGTGCAAAACTTTTGACTTTGCAGAGGATGCATTCTTAAGAGGCAGTAGTTTCTGAAAAAGCATAGGTGTTAGTAGACTAGACTAAACATGGTCAGAAATTTTTAAAGAAATAAAAGAAGTAAAATTAAGGTCTGGGAATAACAAGGTTAAAAATGTGCATGCAAATCCTAACTGTTCCATGTTGCTTTTATATACTTCTGCAGTTTTAGCTCATGAGATTATTCTGCAGGGTATTTTTGCATTAGAACTGGAGTGAAAGAGGGCTTCCTATGGTGCAATTCCTGTTAGTTTAACAAATACTTTTGGGTTGCTAATAGAAGCTTAAAATAACACTATATTGATGTAATGTTATCTTTATTCAGGGGCTGTGCTTCTGACTTGCTCACTTACACAGTGCTTACTCAACAAACCACACAGTAATCGGTAGTATTAAGGTCAGTGGCAACAGATCTGTCTCTCACATTGTGCACTAGAGATGACATTTACTGAATATTGCACCAGTAAACTCATTGCTGATTCCCCTGAAGCTACTTACCTTTCATGCAGCTGTGGGAAAAGATTTAGCCAGGAGCTGGCCAGTGGGCTCATGCCCTTTGCAGTCCTCACTGTATAACTCATATCCTGAATAAGGCAGGTATGCAAGAGACAGGGCTTGTTTCTTACACTGAATAATATCTGACCTTACAGTGAGGTGTCTTCAGTGGGAATTGTGTGTTCCTTCAGTGGATGACCCTGACAGCATCCTTAATGACCTGGAAATCCACATAAAATGTTATCATCACAGCTATTAGCATAATATCCCAGTTCTCAGATATTGAAACTGCAGAAATCAATGTCTGATGTCTCCTGTTCACAAGGCAAGGGGAGGCACATGTATGGGCCAGACTTCTCCCATGCCTGTTTTTAAACTGCTTTCTGATTTTCTTAGCTCCTATTTCACTCTTGTATTTTATACTTTATTCCTATTAACTTTATTCCTATTAAGTGGAAAAGCACACTTGAATTACTTCAGCGCTTATATCTGAATTTGTGGTCCTTATTTCATGTCTATGAGGAGTTTCAAGCCAGTAGGGTTGGGTGATTTTGTCTTCTCACAGCAGTTTCACCCAGGAGTTTGGTCATTTCATTTCTGAGGAATGCAGTTGTTGAGGAAGTTTGTCATCACAGATTAAAAGAAATGGGCTCTTCAATGCTGCTTACACAGAGACAGTTTCTAGTTGCCTGAGAAGCCTCTAGTTTTTGGTGAAGACTTTGCTCCTCTAAACAGATATAATTCACTTGCAAGTCTTACGTCTTCAAAGTATAAACTTATTTATATAGGCTGTGCTTTCGTTTTGACCCTTGATTTGCGAAGGTCATGGATACAGGATTTATAAACCATGGGAAAGTCATCCACGTTGTGCCACTACTCTGCTGGGAGAAGCAGCACTGCATGAATCTGCAGCTGCATAGAAAGGGGGATGCATTATCATCTACCAGCTGTAGTCCTCATGAAAAAGATCAAAAAAATAACTGCTGGTTTATTCTGTTTCTGAAGTGACTGATGCCAGGATCAGTCATCTGCCTCAGCTGAGGAGGACCTGACATACCTTTTCACACCTTGATTTTAAAGTTTCCTCTGCCACTAAAAGAAAGGCAGCAAGGGGGATTCCTGCCAAACCCAGAGCACGACTGTGATGCTGTGCTGTAGCACATACCTGCAGGATCTTGGTACATGTGTGTTTAGGATGTTAGTGTTATTTTGCAAACTGGCAATGTTTTACATCACATTTGTTACAGAACTCTAATGCACCAAAAGAAACTGGGTATTCTACAGTACCTTAATTAATGTTAAGACATTTAAAGTTAGTTAAATATGAAACTGTTTCATAATGAGAATGAAATCCTCTGAGATACCATTTTTTATTACTTTTTCTACTGCATGGCCAGCTTTGGACCCGGGGTTAAGAACAAAAGCTGGATGCTTCTGCTGGAATTCTCCATCTAGAAATAATTACTGAGGGCAATGCTGTAACTTATCTTTCCATTCCAGACGTGACAACCCTTTCAGGTGATTAGGGGGAAGCAGACCTCGCCATTAAATTTTTTTTCAGGTTGTTCTGCAGACTCAGGAAGATATTTATACTCTCTTCATGTATTTAAGTTGATCTTTGTCATTCTGTGGCCTGAAACATCTGTTTTAAACAACAAAAGCAGGGATTATTAATCACTATCCTATAGGAAGGATTTAATTCAGTAACAAACTGCATAGCTATAGAATCTTGCAATAACTGGAGCCTTGCTGATAGCACGGATAAATTGAGGTTTTCATTGTATTGAGATGTCAGTCTTGCATCTGTCATCACTGCTAAATAATTTTTAAAGGCTTAAAAAGCCCAAGAGGTATCCTGTCCCTGGACAAAATACCAAATTCATTTGTTCCTATCTCCTGGGTGCTATTTTTGGAAATAGCAGAAAAAACAGACATCATTCTAGTAACTATATTCATATTTATAGTTTAATCCTATGAAAAGGGGATAAGTAAGGCAATGGTAGGAATCTGTAAGAACTGGAATATGCTTAGTAGCATGTTCACATTTTCTTTTTGGTGAAAATATTAAAATTGGGAAGTTGTGTGATCCTTAAAGATTTCTGAGAGGAAGAGGAACTGCCAATGGGCACAGAAGGGGTGTCTGGAAACAGTCTCTGGATGCTGCCAGTTACAACAAGGAAATGAGAGAGTGAAAAACATACCATATAAAGCCAAATTTTTTACGGTATTTGCACTTGTTTTGTACTTGTAACATGAAACAATAAATACAGAAGTGATCCAAACAGCTATATAAATCTAACCGCTGCAAACCTGGGAAAATCTTTGTGTGAAAATAAGTGAAACTACTGCAGATTTACTACTTGAAATCTGGTTCTTGAACTAAGCCCTCAAAGAACAGACTCCTACATCTTCATATGTAAAAAACCCTGTAGAATGAGGAAAACTCAGCCCTTGAGTTTTGGGCCTTTAGCTCTGGATTTCTGCAAATACAGGATGGGAAATCAAGAGTGTCTGTCAGTGTGCAGTGGTCTAAGCAGCACATCTTCTAATGACACTGGGGTTACATGAAGGGAAACCCTGAAAAACTAACAACAAATATAAGCAATTTATTTTGCCACTTCTTCTCTTCCCTTTAATAACCATCCTGATTTTCCCAAATTTTATAATTGGGCTCTTTTCAGTCTACCTAAATCCACCAACTGATAAATGTTTTCTTCCTGTCTATATCAGAAAAACAAATGCATATGTTACCCACTGTGAGACCCTTCTCTCCACAGCTGGGCTCATGTCTTGGGTAAAAACAGCTGCTTGCTGTACTTTGAGTGTGAACACCAGCGTGTCAACCTCTACAGGGAGACCGTGGGAACAGGGTGGTTGTCAACTCTGTTTTTCTGGACTGTATGGCAAGGACAGCATTCTCTAAATCTGCTGGCTGCAAATAATCCCCAGTAATGCTTTGTAGAAAATAATCTAATGTATGTAATAGCATAATAGGAGGAGAGGATGTATTTATGTAAATCAACTGAAATATCCTCAAGAATTAATGCATTAAAGTAGTTAGGAAAGCCAGCAGTGAGTAATAGGTATGGAGACCTCCTGTTTGTCAGCAGAGACTGGGAAATGGCTGAAGCTGCTGTAGTTCTGTGCATGCCAAGCAGATAGAAAATAATTGTCAGCACTAGAAAATTATAGCAGTAACTCAAGTAATATGTTGTACTTAACTCAAACATATGAATATCATTAATACTTACATGTGCTGGCATGTAAGTACATAGCAAAATAAATTATTTCATTAATGACTATTGGCATTTTCATGGGCAATCTTTCTTTATTCTCTATGAAGTTGAAGAGAATTAGATAACTGCATTTCTTTAAAATGGCTTTTGATGTCCAAAACTGACAAAAAAAAATGCTATTTTAAGAAAATGAAATTGTGGCAGATAATTTTTTAAATTTATAGGAGCAGTCTAAAAGGGGTAGAAATCCTGCTCTGTTTCTATTACCTGTGTCATGCTGTGTGCAGTATTGGAGCAGAAAATAGTTTTTTCTAATATTAGCATACACATGAAGGAGACCAGATGTCATGTAGTTTCCATAATTTGGCTTAATTTTAGAGA